TTTTCAGAGATGCTGAGAACTGGCAGCTCCCATTGATAGTAGCAGTTCTGGGTGCTCAACCTCTCCGAACAGCAAGCCACTTTTCGGTGAGGGAGGGGAGCGCTTAGCTTTAGAGATCCAACTTTGAAAACTGTGGCCATATAATACACTGCACAATGCTCTAGATCATCACCACCACCAATTAACTTCAAAGCTGCCTGGAGTTAGATTTTAGGGTCCTGGTTCTCCAACATGATTTTTGCAGGGGGACCCTTATATCCTCCCTTATGGAGACCCACTGAAGTCAGTGGAGCTCCACACAGGCATCAGAGTCTGTCCACATGGACCTGACTTCAGAATTGGGGCCTAAAAGCCTACACATTTAGACCACATAAATAAAAGTTTTAGAAAATTCTTTATACTTTTTCGAGATAGAGCACTATGTTATAATAAAAGCATGCGTTTCTAGTCATTAAAAACATTGGTATACACATTGCAGAAGCAGGCCTGGTGACCCCCATGCAAACTCCAACTACTTTTTGATGGACACAGTCGTTATATGGCCTGTATGCCTAAACTTATTTCTGGATCAAAGCAAGAGGGTATAGGTACTGCACCTTAACTTAAACCTGGATTCTAATGGCAATGCACACTACAAGTATAATTACTTTAATATTTCTAAATAGCCAGCATCACCTGCAGCTACTGTAATAAAAAAAAATGTCTCAATGTTTCCCCAGAGTCTGTAGTACATAAGTTATTCCTCTCCTTTATAACATCTTGCCCCTCCCCCCAATGTACCCACCCACCAAACTGTTCTCAGTGATTTAATTTTCCTTGTGCCTCTTAAAGCTGTGATACATAGTCTTGGATCACCAGCTGGAGACAAAGAGCTCTTCTGTATGGCTTGACATTACAGATTGATGATGCTTGATTACATAGGCAGAAAGACATCCTTCTAGAGAAAGAAAAAGGCTATAGCTTCTAGCAGCAATAAGAAACAGAAATAGGAAGCTTAATAAACAAAACTGACAAGACATTTATAATGGCTCAGCCATCCTTAAAGACTAGACTAGATAATACCATAAGCATGTGCAACCAACACCCAGCATTCATTTAAAAAGCAACTGAAAATACAAAGCATGGTTTATAACTACAAAGCATGAATAATACATAATCAAGAAACGCACCATACTTTGTAACAGCCTAGCACTTCTTCTGCTAAGCTGATAAAATCTAAAACAAATTTTTTTTATGAAGTGCAGCTTGGATAATGGCAATTAATTGTACAGTTGTTGCTTGACTTTTGAAGGGAAGATTTATATATCTATGTGAGTGCCTGTGGGTCTGAGTTCCTATCTGATAAGGATGTTTTGCAAGCTGTTTGGGTGCGAGAACTGCAAAACAAGACTGAGAATAAAATGTGAACTACTTATTTACATTTGTATCAAATTCAAATGTAGCCAGTTGTGCAAGAAAAAGAATGGGGGACTCTCCTACCATTATGAAAATGGAATGTTTCTTTTTCCCACTAAGAAAATTATGGTAACATGAGAGAACTCCCATTTGTTAAGAGCTAGAAGTAGCCAAATGACAAAGCCAGAAGAATAATTAAAATATTGCCTTTTCTTACCCAAATGGATCACCAACTACGAGAAAAGCAACATCACAGAGATCAGCATCTTTTAAAATATTATCCGCTTCTTGTTCCACTGTTTCTCTGTCAGCCAGAATCAATTCTCTCCCATAGAACTCCTCCTAGAGATAAAGAAAAACATCAAAATGAGACAGCTGGTGATGACTTCCATTTGTCTTAGTCTGTCTTCTGCGGCATCCAACCAGATATAGATTAGACATTTGCTAAAACTGTGCTATGGCCTAGTTTTTTTATATCATGTTGTAATTAACCAGTCTTGAAACCATTCTTTATTAGTATCCCCAGGGAAATGTGACTCCAACAGCTGATGCTTGGTTTCTTTGCACCTCAGATTCACCCTCCAATTCTGGTTCTGCATGCTGAATACCTTTCCATGCATGTTGATAACACATTTAGCCTCTGATCCTTCAAACACTTACCGTTAAACAGAAGAGCAATCCCACTGAAGTCAATGGGACTACACATGTTCTTTAAATTAAGCATGTGTGTAAGCATTGCCTCACATATGAACAGGATCAAGGCCTCACATATGAACCATGAGACTTGGTTCCTTTGTAGAATGTTTAGTGATTATTTTCCACATCTGTACATTCTCATAACTCAAGTTTCATCATGCTATGTAAGTACTATTGTTACATAGACAGCAAGCTTCTTCAGGGCAGGGACATGTCATGTCTTTCTGTTCTGTAAGCCACCTAGCACATTTTTGGGAGCTATAGAAATCATAATTGTTTAGCCAACTGAGGTCAGGAAGGTCTGACTTTACAGAAAATGTGACATCAATTCCAGCTCTGCTCTCCACACACAAAGGATAGTGTATAAAACAAAAAGAACCAGCATAACAGTGAGCACAGCATAAAGGAGTAACAAAGGATGGTCCTGTGGTTAGGGCAGTAGCCTTGGATCTGGTAGTTCTAGGTGCAATACCCTGCTCTGCCACAGACCTATGATGTGACCTTGGGCAAATCACTTAGGGTGAGACCCACAAAGGTACTTAGGCACCCAAGACCAATATTTAGGTGCCACTGACATTCACAAAGTTATTGCTCAGCTGGTGTGTAAAGTCCCCGCTGGTAGGCCTCTGCAGAGCCACTTATATTTTTATGCTGCCACATAGCTAATTAGCAGCTCGGAACCCTAGCTCATGCCTAAACCCCAGCAGGAAACTCAACCTTAGCATTCCACTCCTATCTTTCCAGTTGGGCCTGACAGCACATCTACCAGGTCAGGGCCTTGTACAAGTGAAGACTGGGTATTTTTCCAGTGAGTGTGTGTGTGTCTCCCAGAATAGTCAATAGCTCAGTTATAAGGGCACTCATTTGGGATGGGGGAGACCCAGGATGGGGGATGTTTTCAAATCCCTGCTCTGCCCGATTTGGAGCAGGGGCTTGATTTTACCCCAGATCCCCACATCCTGTGAGGCCCTACATGTCAAGAATATGGGATGGTTTTAGCAATCCATTGCAGGCCAGAGTCCTCATCTCTAGACAGCCTTCTGATTCCCTGTATTGCTGCTCACATGTGATTGCCCTCCAAACCATTAAGCAGCCAGTTTCCACCTACTTTTAACTTGGTCAGCAATGTCCTAAGGGTCACCCTTTTTCATTTGGCCGGGAACCAGCCAATGGGAGCTGGGGGAGGGAGGGGTGCCTAAGGTGTGTGCGTATGCAGGGGGTGGGGGTGTACATGCGGGGGGGCGGGGGAGAATATGCGCAGGCTAGGTGGGGTGCCTGTGGGCGACAGCTGCGCAGAGCTGCTTGCGTGTCTTCAGAGCTGGACCTGCTGCTGGCTGCTTCCGGAGCGCAGCGCGGTCCACGGTGCCAGGACAAGCAGGAAGCCTGCCTTAGCGTCCCCTCTGTGCCACTGACCGGGAGCCACCTGAGGTAAGTCTGTGCCCCAACTCCAAGCCCCAATCCCCTGCAGCAGCCCTGAGCACCCCCACAATCCAGAACCCTTTTCTGCACCCAAACCCCTCATCCCCAACCCCACTCAAGTTTGCACCCCCAGCCCAGAGCCCTGACCCCCTCCCGCAATCCGACCCCATGCCCCAGCCCAGAGCCCCTTCCCACACCCTGATCCACTCATTCCTGGCCCCACCTCACAGCCCTCACCCCTACCCTCTGCCCTAAGCCCCTCCCACACTCCAAACCCCTCATCCCCAGCTCCGTTGGGTCATGGGCATCAACAATTTTCTTCAACTGGGTCGCCAAAAAAAAAAGTTTGAAAACCACTGTACTAAGGATCTTTCAGCATGCACCAGCAGGGTCCACACAGGCCAGTTATCGTGTGACACACCAATGTGCACTCAAATTTACACTTCTCTGGTACTGACTAAAGCACCAGGTGAAAGTTCCAGTTAAACAATGAAATGTTTAAGCATTTCTAAACTGATATTTTTCTAACTTTCTGTTCTATGAAAAATGTTGATATTTGGACTTTGTCACAATTTGGGATGAAAACAAATGTTGAAATATTGGAATTTCCTGTGGATTAACGAACTATGGAAGGAAGTTACTCATATAAAGTGCATGCTGGTTTGTCAGGATCATATTTACACTCACAAAGATGCTTTACTATTCTTTCTTCTGATGAGTTGCATTATTATTTTTCCTGGTACTGTTACTGATCCACCATTCCCGCATCCCCCTTAATATCTTTTTTGAAATAACAGAGTAAAGACTTTCAATTCAGTGGCACGTAAACCTACCAGTGCTTCCTTCCCTACAGTTAGGACCGACGTGTAGGCCTCCAGGTATACTCTGCGGCAGTGCTTTACAACCTCCAGTCCTTTCACGGTAATATCTTTGGCATCTCCCAGCCCTAGTCCAATCAGGTAAAGCATTTTAATTCCTGGAGTGGAACAGACGCCAGTTCCTGAGTGTGACCTACCACAAGAAGGGAACAGGTGTCAGCGGGAGGGATGGATACCCGGGTGGCTCCGCAGGGGAGCACTGCAGGGAGACTCTTCCCCTGCAGAGCTCCGGATCAGCGGGGGCGCTGGGCAGACATCAGGCCCAGTCCCCTCTAGGGGGTCACCGGGCCGTTTGATGTCCCTCCACCATGTGGACCTCGGGCACAAAGCAGCCCCCGCCCCGCAGCTTTCCCCTGTACCATCCCCTCCCTCCGCGCCCCGGGCCGCCGCCCAGGCTCTACCAGCGGCACGCGGAGCAGCCTAGGCTAGCCCCGGAGCGCGCTGGGCCTGGCTGGCTCCGTACAGGGGACACCGAGCTCGGAGCGGGGGCGGTCCCCGCCTGACTCACGGGCCAAGAACCTCCCCGCATCGGCGCTGGCGCCTTGCAGCACGCGGCTCCCCCCGGCTCCCAGCCGTAAAGCCCGCCTCGCTTTGCGGCGCTTTACGACGGCAGGGGAGGAGGAGACGGGGGCTTGGAGACAGTTGCCTAGCGCGGACGGAGGAGGCGGTCTGATGGGGACCCGGCTCAGCATGGCCTCCTGGGCGCCTGAGCGGGCGCCGCTGGGTCTCCCCACGCTCCCCCTCTCCAATGGCTTACACATCCCCGTGCTGGGGCTGGGTAAGTGCCCTGCATCTCTCCCCCAGCCGGCGGCGCTGGTGGTGGGGCTGAGCCCAGCGCCCGTGGCCCTGCCCCGGCCCAGCGCCCTTACCACGCCACAGCCCAGGGCCTGTCATTGCTCTACCCATAGCACACGGTGGCCCCATGTCTGCTGCCCAGTGCCTGTGTCACTGCCCTATCCTACGCCTCCCTAGGCCCCACCACACCCCCCACCTCAGTGCCTGTGCCGTTGCCCTACCCACACCACAGCCCCAGCCTGCTGCCCAGTGCCTCTGTCACTGCTCAGTGCCCGTGTCACTGCCCAGCACCAGCCGTCCCACATCCTAGCACAGCCTGTGCTACCCACCGCCTGTGTCGCTGCCCTGCACCAGCAGTCTCCTTGTAACAACAGAGTCCCCAGCCCACTGTCCAGTGCCTGTGTCACTGCTCTGCCCCACCCCGTGTCACACCACACACCAGCCCACTGTTGTAGCGAGGCTTCCAGAAAGACCAAGGTAGAGTATCACAGGCCTTATTGAAATATGCACCCTCCTCTTCTCATAGAGAGAGACTGTGCCACTGCATGAATATGCCCCTGCTTTCCTACCAAACCCTGCTTTCCCCAGAAGTGAGGACTGTAAACACTGCCTATAGGTAACCACTGTATTCCTCACTGAGGGAGATTTGGGGCAGATCTGAGTTTGTGCAGGTTGGAAGAAGGGAGATTTTTGGGGTGAGTTTTCAAAAAGCATCTACGTTCACTCGCAAGGGTGCACCCTTAATTGCACATGCAAATCAGGTAACTGTGTGCATAAATGGCTAGTTGGTTGTGTACCTGTTTGCATGTGTGATTACGTGTCTTGCACATTCAGTCACTGTAAAGGCATGTGCATTTGCTGGTGCAGTTTTGAGACTTCAGTCCTTCTTCTATAAAAATTTGGTCCTAAATGTCACAGTGAAACACACACAGTGAAATCATCTGGCCCCAGAACAAGATGGCTTTTCAGCATTTGTAAATTTTGAATTACTATTGTGCAGCACCTATGTACTTATAGATTCTGTATAGGACATTAAATAAAACTAGAACCCATCCACCTCTGCAGAATGAGGGAAAATGTGGAGCAGGTGTGTCTTCTTCTTAGAGATCAGGGGGAAAAAATTGCAATTGACTTATCTTTCTTGACTATTTTTTTTTTCCGGTTTCAGCAAATTTGTTTAAAGCAACATTGCCAGCTCTTGTTACTTTACCTTAGGTCTTTCAATATTAGGTGTTTTTCGTAATGCTCCAGTTGCTGGATTCAGAAGTCTCCCCAAGAATCTCAGCTTTCATTTTTTACATAAAGTATAGTAAGTTTCTAGCCCTCATGGCTGCAGGCAAATATTTAAAAATGTGACCTTTGTGTATCCTAAAGGTTCAGACAGCAGAAGGCAAATAACTCATCTACTTTTTTTAAATCTCATGATTTTTTGTCGGGGGAGGGAGTGACGGGGTGATTGATTAATTTTCAGTGCTTAGGGTTGGCAATACTGTAAGGTATCACAAATGCATAGAGGGTTGACCATTGATATACAATAAACTTATCAATGTTTTGATACAAGTATGCTGTTGATTCAAATAACACCTAAGGTTACTGTAATAGAAATATTTTATAATTTCTTTCTGTGCTCTTTTTCACTTGGGAGCCTTGGCATATTTGACCGAACTTTGTATACAGTGAGTTTGTTTCGTTGATAGTCACTTGCACTTCCTGCCTCAGACCCTAGCAAGATGATATCACTCTCATGCACTGCTCTGGGGAGATATTCACTCTTCCTTCCCTTTATGCACATTCTGCCCCAGATTTTGTAAAAGGGTATTTATTTACTAGTAAGGACAATAGCCAAAGTGAAACTGAAGAGATTGCAGGCAGGTGTATATACAGAGCACTTCTTGATTTTTTTTCCAGTTTTACTTATTTTATTTCCCCCCACGCACTATTTTTTTTTTTACCTCCCCCCTTTTTTTCCAGTGGAGACAAATTAGGGTGGGAAACTAAAGAATTGTCCTGCCATTTTGAAACAAAATTCCCAAAAATTCATTTTTTTAAAAGATGGACTAAATTTCTAGTGGAAGAAATATCGGCCAGCCCTAATGTTCAGTGTTGCTCTTAGATCATCCCAAATGATGTTCCTAATCTTCAGCTGGGGAATCAGAAATTCAGAAACAGAAAGCCACTTACAAAAATTCTAAGATTTAAGAACACCAAAAAACTATGTGGATATACTATTTAAGGGATCCCTTCTATAAGGAAGTTGGATGTTCAAAAATTAGTTAATGGAAGAAAGTCATATACATAATCAGTCCACCCTAGTTTAAGTCATCATCTCGCTGCTACCACTTTTGAGCCCAAATTTTGCCCCTTCTCTTGAATGGAAGTTTTGTACGGTACTCAGATAGTGGAGTTTGGTCCTTTGGTTTGAACAACAAATCCATGAAGGATTGATTCTTCTGGGAAACTTAAGGGGAAATAGGCATGAGTTTGCAGAGTGGGATGGGGGAGAGTAATGCTTCAATATTCCTAACATATAAAGTGTGGAAGTGTGGCAAGGAGGCATAACGCAGGTGCCTAAGGATCAAGAACACAATCCTGCAAATCCTTTGTTTATCCAGGACTTATGCATGTGCGTAAAATTAGGCACATGCATAAATTTGCAGGACTGTAAAGAGGGTTCATGAAAGTGGAAACAAATATTCTTTGCTGGGTTAAAGTTAGGCTAAATTTTTCAGTGGTTGTTTAGTCAGTGCATGAAAACAATGAAGTGGATCACCACATTAAAAAAAGAAAAGGAGTACTTGTGGCACCTTAGAGACTAGCAAATTTATTTCAGCATAAGCTTTCGTGAGCTACAGCTCAAGCTTATGCTCAAATAAATTTGTTAGTCTCTAAGGTGCCACAAGTACTCCTTTTCTTTTTGCGAATACCGACTAACACGGCTGCTACTCTGAAACCTGACATTAAAAAAAGTTACTCACTTTTATTTATCTGCTTAAAGTACATAGTTCAAATCCAATTTACGAATACTATGGCCAGGAGCTTTGTGGTAAACATTGTGTCATTGATGGGGATGGTGTTGCATAATAAAAGTCTCACGAATATATTCTGTAATACAAGCATGGTATTGCCAACCACAAATGTTCAAAAATCGTGAGTCAGGCCCCCAAGAGTCATGAGGGAGGCTTAAAAATCACAAGCTTTAAAAAAAGAATGGAGGGGTTTTATATTTGCTTTCTGTTTTTGAGTCTTCAGCAGTCATATTCTCTAGCTTTGCTCTGCAACCATGAAGGCTAGAAATTTTTGAAAGCTGAGATTCTCATATAATCAAATAACTCCGGGAGCTAGGGCTTTAAGAAGAGTATAGAAAATCACAATAGAAGGCAACATTGCAACCAGTGATTGTAAAGGGAGTTCTTGGCCTGATACTGCAAACTTAACATAGATACCACTGTCAGGCATGAGGGTTCATGCATGGGGATCCATATGCAAAATTGTGGTCACAGGCAAAACTCACACTGAAGTCAATGGGATTTTGGATTGGGCTCTCTGTACAAATATTTTTGCTGAAGGCTACTAGATGTCATTTGCTATATTTACAGCCTTTTTATTCTATCAAACCCGTCTTTGTGCTTTAGTAAGTTAATGCCTTATTCTGAGACTTTTGGAATTACATATAATACTGTGCAGGATTGAGGCTGCACTGTTCATTCATCCAGTGGGCCAAATACTAGTAGTTTATTAATAGTCAGATTATGATAAGTGAGTAAGTTAGGATTTTTAATAATAATTGTTATTTATGAAAACATGTTTCTTCAAAAAAAATCACATTCTGTGCCTGAAAATAGGAGAATGATAATGAAAACATATTTTTGTCAATACCAAAATTAAAATCTAAATTATTGATAGCATAGAAAACAATCCGACACTAGGGTTAATAAACCACTTCAGAGAGCTTTGTTTACTTAAAGATGAAAAAGGGTAGAAACCTATCTGGACACTGTATAATAGCTGTTTTGATCAAACCAGTGGTGTGTCAGAGAAACTGCTTCATAAAAATCAGCATAGCTGAGAATACAAACTAACCGGAATATACCCCTGCTATGCTTATTCAGGCATCAGAGTTTCCATAAAGTTTGAAAGAAAGGATTTCCCTCTTTCTTATCAGCGAAGCAGAGCAAAGCAGATATTCCTTTCCTCTGTTCTTTGAGAATTAGAGAAAAGGATTTTCTTGTTCATTGAACCGCAGTTGAAATATCCTGAAAAAATAAGTTTCTCTTGGATTAGAACATTCTTTTTGGCACCTCCACTGCCCCAATAACATATCTCCCACTCACAGCCATCAGAATTTGCACCTTGGCTGATGGTTCTGCAGAATCCAAGCATTAAACTGACATGCAGCCTGAACTACCCTCTTATTCCTAAAGATTGTCCCTCCATTAAGTCAGCGTAGCAGCATGTAGGTAGGAGAGCATGAGTAATCCTGCACTGCAGCTGCTCATGCTGTACATATTAAGTTGATAAATAAAGGACTTCAATCTTCCTGACATACAAAAAGCATGAACTTTCCCAGATGGGAGGATGGGGCAAGGATGGGCTGGGACAGAGGCATGGCCAATAGATCCCACAAAGGGGGAGCAAACCGCAGGGGTTACTGCAGCCCTGAAGCTATAGTAAATGCTGTCTAGTGGCTCTGCTGCTACGCTTCAGTCAGGATTTCTCTCTCCTCGCCCCAGCATGGAGGCCTGGAATCTCAGACCTGATTTTTCAAACATTTTTGTTCATGACTATTAATTTTTTATGCTCGTTTTATGGCAAATTAAATCTGAGCTCTTGTATGTTGTAAAGCATACCAGTTAATTTGACCATTTGATTAAGGTCAGATCCGCTTTCATGCATCATTTGCAGAGCTTTTTTTTTTTCCCCCTTCTCCTTTGTGACCTTTCCAAAAGCCTCTTTCCTTTGACAGCATGTTGTAAAACTCAAGTACCTTTTCCAAATCATTCCACATGAAACATTATTTATTCTACTTCAGTAAAATATTACAGCTTCTCTGTGATTTTAAAAAAAACCCACAAAACCAAAAACATTTGTGTTCTTTGTCTGGGGTACTGGAATCAAGCCAAACAGAAACCATCAAGTAATTAAGCTGTAAAATAAAAGGGGTTTCCACTTCTCTAATATAGAATAGAAGTTATTAATATTCCAGCACAGTTTCTTTTCAAGTCTGTGAGGCTGATTCACCTTCACCAGTTTTACACACTTCTGACTTCAATGAAGTTATCCTAAGTTTACACCAGTATAAATGAGGGCAGAATCAGGCCCAATGGCTTCAGAAGCGAGCTATCAGAGACAGCGCGTGAAATCCTGGCTCCATTAAAGTCGAGGGGAGTTTTGCTATTAACTTTAATGGGGTCAGGATTTCACTCAGAATCTTTCTTTTAAACTTTTAGTGTTTACTACACAGTTCCAAGAAACATTTTGACACAGCTATAAAATTGTAGCCACGCGGTAGCATTGAGAAAATTATTTTAAAATCACTGCAGTGTTTATCAGTAGTTAAAAATATGTATTTCAATCTTTTTGAAATATTTTGCATATTAAAAATCACTGTGTTATTATTGTTTAACCTTAGTTTAATAAGGGCTTGATTCTGCTGTCCTTGGCACAGAGAGTGTATGAAGTAGCCTATATAATTCAAATGGCTCGTTTTATTCCCTGTGCTTTAGGGTTTTTTTATTTAACTCATAGCATTGTCTTTGATCTGTGATAGTTGAATTGAAGAATAAGTTCCTAATTACTGAGTTAGAGATTACATTGACAGTGCACTAATGCAGACAGTCCTCTTTTGCTGTCAATCGCGCCAATGTAATTAGAATATGTAGATTTCTGACTGCGTCAGAAATTATTTCCTCCATCCACCAGCTCCCGCTGGAGATTGCAAAACTACAAATTGTTTATCACTGTATTTGGAACTGCTGGTGATTGGGGGAAGAATCTATCAGTTCATAGTCTCTCTAGTACTCCCTTTTCAAAATAGTTTGGCTTCTTCTGTCATTCAATAAGTACTAAACAATTGTTTATAGAACTTCCTAAGTGAAACCACAAGACCGGGACTAACAAAACAGAAAAGCAAGAAAATTCAGCTAAATTTGAAACACTCTGGGCCAATAACTTCTGTCAGATATGACTTCAAAGGAGTGACTCTTGATTTACAGTGTTATAACTGTGTTGTTGTACCTGTGTTGGTCCCACGATATTAGAGAGACAAGGTGGATGAGGTAATATCTTTTATTTGACCAACGTTTGTTGGTGAGAGAGACAAGCGTTAGCTCAAATGTGTGTGTCTCTCACCAACAGAAGCCGGTCCAATAAAAGATATTACCTCACCCACCTTGTCTCTCAACATTATAACTGACAACGGAATCTGATTCTCTGATACAACCCAAATACCTAGGTAGAGCACTGTATAGAAAATGGCTTACAACCTCACCAGCTATTTTGAGGACCCTATAATATATAGAAGCAATAAGGCAATATTAAAAAGTGCTTAAGTATGCCTCAAAACACTTCAAGCAAAAAAGCATGAGACTTAACCACAAATATAAATATAATAAAAATTGACTAAGCTGCTATTTCCTGAAAATACAATGCCTAGCATAGTGATGCATGCCAGGGCCTCTAGATGCTGCCACAATACAAATAAATAAATAATAATCGTAATATAATAGTAAAGGGTTGTTGGTACCGCCTTAACTGTGCTGGTGCTCAGGACTTGAAAAATCCACTCAGTAATAGAGAGTGGGGAACTTTCCCTGGTGAGTTGGGGGTCAGGGGGGAGGGGTGAATAAGCCAATTTCTGCAGAATTTAAGATTTCATTACAAATAAATTCTAACCCTTGTGGAACTGAATGTTAACCAGTGCAGTGCTGTCTTCATAAGTCAGAGAACAGACTGCTCCAATGTGTCTGCTTCTACTTAAGCTTTCCTAAACTGCATAGGGAAATGAACATAGCCTATGGGTCAGTGTGTAAGTGTCCAGAGTCATGTTAATTGGCAAGCAGCACAGACGGGCACTTGAGTTATTCAGGATGGAGGAGGACCCCAAAACTGGAAGGTGGGGAGGACTTTGGATATCAAAGACCAGTGCTTCACTACTCACAGCAACCAGGAAATTGGAGGGGTAGAAGAGCAGCTGAGGGATGGAGCTTCACATTTTTTAAGACGCTTTTTAGCCAGAGGCTGATGTAAAAGAGCCCATAAGCAGGGTCCAAGAACACCATTCTGGCAGAAATACAGCACCTTTCCCATTCACAGTAACTAGAAGTGGCAGAAGAGCTATGTTTTTTTTAATCACACTGTCCGTGGAGCTTGTTAGTTTCCACCCCATGCTGGTTTTTTGTGTTGGCCTCTGGCTAGTTAGGAACTTGGTAAAGTTCTCAAGGTCTGATGATGTTTCTGGAGAAGGAGAGAGAAAACAAATAGTAAGAGAGAGACAAACAGGGGTTGAGAGAGCACTTTCTGCAACTGATCATTGCCTTTCTGCTGCTATGCTTTCTTTTACCAAAACTGCTCTTGGTCAGGAGGCCACATGGCACGGGGTGACTGGACATTTTAAAATGCCTATGGAACCTTAGCATATACTGACTGCAAGGTGAGCAGCTATAAAAACCTTTATTTGTTTATGTCCTGACTTCAGTATTTAAATTGGCAACTTAAATTGTAGCCATAACCAGGCAAGTGACTGTAAAAAAAACCAGCACCTTATTCTACAGAAGTGATCTCTGTAACTGTAATTTAGTCTTATCCACTGACTTGGATAATAAAAAAAAATGCTTTTTATTAACTTGCACTGATTTCAGCATTCAAGGTTAGGGCATACAGTACCATCAGTTTGCATTATGGCAATATAATATTTCCTGGACTATTCTCTGTTCCCTTCATTGAAATGCTTAATATTTCTGGAGCAATCACTGCTCTTTCACTATAACATCTCAGTCTTGTTCGTGAGAGGTTACAGATAATTCAGAACCTATTGGTGCATACAACTATTTTAAATTGTACCTTCCAATGTGCATTACCTTGCATGTGTCCACACTCTGTCCTGCAGTTTTGTTACTCATTTTTCTAGTTTTGTTAGGTTACTTTTAGAGGTGCTCAGTCCTTTCTAATCTGACCAACATAAGAAAGGGCCGCCTCCTGCTCCCAATGAAAAGGAAGTGGCAGAAGGATTGGGCTCTAATTTTGTGTCATCCACAATTTTGCGATGTTGCTTTTTTCAGCTCTTTCAGATCAAGAAATTTATGGAACATTGCTCCTGGTACCAAGCTCTATGGCGTCAGCTGTTTATTCCTTCTCTTTGTTTTCTATCTCAACCAGTTTTTTGTTGTAATCTTGACAGAATTTTACTTCTCACCCTTGGTTACCATGTTTCCTTAATAGCCTCTTGTGATGAACTAAATGCCATGTCTACAAATCTCTCTCTCTCTCATTCATCCATCAGTTCAGTAGCTCTGACTTAGAGAAGCTGTACTTGATCCTTGAGGCCCTCCAGATATTTCACTTGCTACATACATTCAAAACATGGCCACTCTCCAGACAGCGATATATTTGCACTCGGGCAACAGAGTGAGCATGTTGTTATATCCTAACTAAACTGTTGGCCTGGTCCCTCCATTACTTCCCCTGATTTCACCCAGTTCCAACTTGGTGCTTATTTACTTTACTTTAAAAACCTGCCAAACACCAATTTAATTATTTTAAAGGGTACCTGCAAATGGGAAAAAAATGTGCTCATTTTTTTGCTACCATTTTGTATAAAACAGGCCTGAAGGGTCTTGTATTTGGGGGAAGAAGTTGTTTCTTCCTCTCCCTTGCCTCTTAGAAACACCTCAGTACTCTCAAAGCTATCCTTCCCTGCTTTTGTTGGAGTCGCTGGAGAATTAGAGAACAGAACTGAGAGGCTTTCTCTGTCCTTGTCGGAAAGGGTAGGGGACTGCTAAATCTTTCACAGAAAAAATCTTTCCTACCCAAATATTTATTAAATGTTTGAGTTAAATAGATGTTATCAAAAAGAAACAAAAGGAGTTTTAATCAAGTCTTGTTTCTATATCATACAGACAAATAGAGGACACAAATAAAATTTTTCCCTCATTGCAGGTCACGTTTAACCCCCCTCTGGTTTTAGAATTAGAAAGTTTAGAAAACAGCCACAAACAACTCTTATGTAGCTAATGTTTCAGAAGTTTAAAGCACTGACCAAACTGTAGTGCAACATTTACATCCAGTAGCTAAGTAACTTTGATTAATCAGTTTATTGGAAAGAATAGTTCAGTTTTTGAATTTTTAATTCCAACTAAACTAGTGGTGGGCAACCTGTGGCCCACGTGCCACAGGTTGTCCGCCCCCGAACTAAACTGAACACAGAGTTGGGAAACTCCCTTAGACATGATGGGAAGAGAATTTGAGAATAAATATAAACCACTTGATTTTGAAAATGAGGCTATAGAAAATGACTTTGAAGTGGGTATAACAAAAGTTGGATAATCACTTTGTGCTAAAGACAACTGTCCTCTCTTTGTAGATTTGCTTTCACAAGAAAGATCAAAAAGTGGGTGAGGCCATTGTGAGTTTTGCCATGAGTTTATGATTTTTCAGAGATTTGTGGTAAACATCTGGATCTAATGAGAGAAAAAAATACAGGGGAATTTACAGTATATATGAAATGGAGGCATAAATATTTGTACTAAGTTCATTCTAGTGCCAAGAATTTCTGTGCAAGCGTGCCCCTCCCCCCAAGTGAATTCTACAGACTCTTGATTGATTGCAGCCATATTCCCATACCCATGTTCTGAAGAAAGAGGTTTATGAAGAAAATCCATGAGGCCCTCCTGGAACTCTCAATGCCAAATCCCACCCTCAATTGCATTTCCATTTGGATTAGAATATATGGTGTGAGTGCTGCCACCTAGTGGGGAGTAAGAGGAAGGAGAAATAGTATTAAAAGTACCTTTGCTCTCATTTTTGTTCTGTTTCCACCGTGACATTGTTTTACAAAGACTGGCTCATGTGGACACTTTCCTAGCTACAAGAACAGTCTCTCCATTTGTCCAAATTCATGATCAGCTCCACAAATTATCTGTAATTTAACAGCAGAAAGTTAACTAGCTTACTCTCATGCTGGCTTCTCTGGCACTTCTTGTTCATGTGACATGGACACAAATTGTGACACTGGTACTCACTCATCCATACAGTAAGAGGACAGTAAGAATTCTGCGCCCTCACCCAGTGGTGAAGTGATCCTCACTTGAATGAAATATAGCACCAGTAAATAGTCAGTTTCCATTGCCCAAGATTAGTTAAGTCCAAAAAGTAAACAATTAACATTAACAATGAAAAGTAAATTTAGATTTTTAAAACAATCACTTTTCATAATTAAAAATGTTATTAATATAGATAAAGACATTTTAAATATGTGATTTTTAACCTAACAGTGGTAATTTTAACTGAAAGTGGTTTTGTATAATATAAAAATCCAGTTTGTATTTTCTTTCTTTGACAACTTTCTTACATAAAAGAAAAAATATAAAGCAATCTCCAGATGGGCAATGGAGTGGTAAGAATTAAACATAAAAACTTTGAAATGAATAGTAAAACAAACCAAGTATATTTAATTTTAGTCGTTCACTGTGCTTTTATGATATAGAAAGATGTTTTAAAATTTCTTGTTTAAAAAAGTGTTTTTCTGCCTGTGACGTTCCCCTGGTATTATCTGGACCGGTGATCTGCTAGGTCATTCCAATCCTCGACTCTGGGAGCCACCTTACCCTGCTCTCCTGTGAGAACCCCCACTCCCAGGCTGTTCACACATAGCCTCTAGCATGTAAGCCGCTCCCAGTTACATGAGTAAGCACTTTTGGCCAGCCGCTGCTTGGATTGTGCAACTGAATGACACTAGCCAATATCTCTGGTCCGGGACACAACCCTAGGAACCTCCGTCTTGTAGTGTCCAGTTATGCCCGCTGGACGCAGCAAGCTTATATGAGTTCATCAGTTTAACAAAGAAATCGATATGTCCCAGGCTTGTTATCTCAAGGGAGTCTCTGACACACTTCAAACCAAATGCACTGCTTCAGGTAGAATAAACAAACAAATTTATTAACTACAAAAAGATAGCTTTTAAGTGATTATAAATCAAAGCACAACACGTTGGATTTGGTCAAATGAAATAAAAGCAAAACGCATTCTAAGGTGATCTTAACACTTTCAGTGCCCTTACAAACTTAGATGCTTCTCGCCACAGGCTGGCTGGTTGCCCTTCAGCCAGGCTCTCCCCTTTGATCAGCGCTTCAGTCACTTGGTGGTGGTGTCTGTAGATGGAGGTGGAAAAGAGAGTCAGCATGATAAAAGGGAGAGACTTTTGGCATGTTCTTTCTTCCCTGTTGGCTTTGTGCCCCCTCTCCCTCTTTAGGGTAAGGTGAGCATTACTTCATCATTGTCCCAAACTGACCAAGGGAAGGGGGGTGACGCACTCGAGAGTCCTACAGATCCTTTGTTGCTGCCTAGGCCAGTGTCTTTTGTTCCTGTGAGGCTGGGCTGGGTTTGTCCCATACATGCTCTGATGAGATGTGAACTGCCCCTCAGTTCCTGGAGAGTTTTGCTTGGGCTTTTTTTTAAGCCATGAGGACACATTTTCAGCCTCATAACTATATACACAAAATTACAACCTATAACAACAATGCTCAGTGCATCATGAGCCTTCCAAAGACACCTGACATGACAATATTTGCATTGGATACCACACAATCATATTATAAGGATGAACATGGGGGTGCAGGGTGTTCCTCCGAGGTACAGAACATCTCACTGTCCTGCCCCCTTTTTTCACCTTTTACATATCATGTTTGGAGTATAGAGCCCCCACTTCCTTCTTTGACAGAGATCCTTGGCAAGTTCTTTGGAAGAGCTGAATAGTGATGTCACATGAGGCTGTAACCTAAGCTGCAGCAGTCTCTCATCTATCTTCTTCCCCCACAACTGAGAGAGAAGGGGTGCTGATTCATAGACTTTCTTCGGGTCCTCTAGTATTCTTGCTAAGGACCTCCAGCAAAGAGAGTGATATGAAGACCTGATTATACAGAACACAGGCAAGAGGAAAAACAGGATAAAAGAGTTATTTGCAAATCATCTTTGAGGTAGTCTTTATACGTTAAAGAAACAGAGAAGAAACTTTTTTTTTTTTTTGCTGTTCACATTTACTGAAGTTTCATATACAATATGCTCAGTTCCTTATACTCAGTGCATGAAAGGAAGTCCTTTGCATTCTAGTACATAATTATATTCTAAGGCTGTATGTAATAGGAAGTATGAAAAATGTAGTTCATCTTAGAGACATTGAGAATGTATCTTTTCGTTTTCCTATTTGAAACTAAAAACAAAACACATTTAATCAGAAGGGTAACTTATTGTCAAACTTTAATGCTCAGTTTTAGGCCCCAGTGCTGCAAACAGATGTGCTGATGCAGATCTTTGCCCCAAACACAGTAACTCCAGTGGACCTCAGCAGGATTCCACGTGAGTCTAAGAGCCTGCATCACTGCATCAGTTTGCAGATTAGGGTCTCTGCCTTGTTTCAGCAAAGTATTTAAGCACATCCTAACTTTAAGCACATGAGTAGTCTCATTGGCTTCAGGGGCACTACTGTTGTGGTTAAAGTTAGGCACAAGCTTTAGTATCTTGCTGAACTGGGGTCTAAACCAGCAGTAGCTCTCAAGTATACTATGATGATCGTTATTGTACCTATGTTTTCAGCTCCTAAGGTATCTAGATATATTAGCATTGTAGATTTTAACTCTCTTTGTATAAAGATATTTTAAATATTAGTTTTGTAATTATTGACCTCATATTAAATCAACTCTCTTTCCTGCAGCTGTTCAATATTTTTAAAAATATTGCCTTCTTTCCTGTAGCTGCATAACAATAAATGATACATTGAACATTTATGCAAATATTAAATCCATAGTTTATACTGTAAAATGGTTAGTCTCATACAAAGTTTATTTCTGCTGGGAATGTTTGTCCTCAAAGGTAATTATCTCCTTTTGATTGATCACATTTGCCTCATACATTTATGTGAAATGCCCTCCCCCCTCACCCCCAAAAAGTCACAAGCCTCATTTACTAGGAGAAGGATTCCAAAATCTAATATTGTTGATCAACAGTTAATCTCTTTTAATTTACTTGGTAACAGCTTATATAAGTGCATACAAGATCTTCATCAGAGTAATACAGGTTGATTTACTAAAAGCCTAAAATAAGGTATCCGAGGGAAAAAAAAACATTAATATTATTTGTGTTCAGTTTACTTACTGTTAATTTATACTTTTTGCCAGTGTGCTGCACATATCATCCTTATCAGTTATGAAGTTAAAGTTTCATCAAGGTATAAGCAGCACTGGAAGTAATTTCAATTGAGTTAACAAAAGGAATAAAATGAAAATCATTTAAAACTGGCTCACACCAGCAATTCTTCGTGCACTATTAACAGCTAAGATCTAGTCACAAAACATTATTCCTAGAAGAAAAGGTTTAGTGAACCCTAGAAATTGGATTTGATTTATGCCAGAAAATCTGCCTTTTCACTGCTTGAGATTTCTATGGAAGAAAGCCACAGTCTTTTACCAAATGGTTTCTAAGGAAACATCTTATAGCAGAGCATCTGAAAACAATTTGGTTGTTAATGAGAAATAGTTCTCACGATGGTGGGAAAGTGTTGAGTGAAAGAAAAGGCTGCAAGATTTGGCAGTCTGTCCATAAAGGCATTTAAATAAATGTGTGCGGCAGTTCATCTTATGAAATTTCTACATGGATTACACATTCATAGCCTGCCTTTCAAATGTCCAGGTCTGATTTCAGAGCTGTTCTTCTATATAGATAAACTCTACAAAGAGGTTATGAGCAATAGGAAGAAACATTTGTATATGAAAGCTGGATACTTCAAATAGCATATCAGAGCCCATGTCACCCTGCAGCAAAAGTCTTTGCTTGCTCTGGATCACACTGTGACTTTTAAAAACAGAACTGCGTTAGTGGGTTGGTGGTTGCTGAGTAGCGTCCAGTGACAGTGAGTGAAGGCATTCTTCCTGAAGAATGCTGAGGCATGCGGGGCCTCTATGGTTGCTATGGGGAGTACTCGCAGAAGTGGCTTTTATATGTTCTTTTCAAAAGTCCTGATTAGAGAAATGCTAGCTGATGTGCAGAGATGGGCTGAATCTTGTAGAAGAACATCTGAGGGCAAATCTTCACTACAGCGCTGCGTTGGTGCAGCTGCACCAATGCAGCTATGCCGTTATAGCACATCTGGTGAAGATGCGCTATGCCAATGGGAAAGTGCTCTCCTGTCAGCATAATTACTCCACCTCCCCAAGAGTCAGAAGCTATGTTGGCAGGAGAGCATCTCCCGCCGATATAGCGCCAGTGGGGACAGCGCTTAACTCGATGTAACTTGTGTCACTCAGGTGGATGTCTTTTTCACACCCCTGAATGATGTAAGTTACATCTTAAGCAGTAGTGTAGACCAGCCCTCAGAGTCCTTATCCTACCCTGCCAGCCACGTCCTGGGGTCTAGAGTGCCTCTGTCAACAATGGCTCCCCTTGCCCCCATCCCTTTGCCCCATTGCTCTCCGGAAGCATAAACAGCAGCTTTCTGGCTTTCCCCAGCATGGATACACAAAAAGTGGGAAAAGGGTCTTTCCTTCTCCCGCATTATCACAGCTAGAATCAAACTGTTTTTTGCCTTTCAGTGGCTGAGTGGAGTTGTAGAGACGCCCTGTTGCTTCCTTTTATTCCTCCTCATATTCCTCTACCATTTTATTTTAACTTGGGCTCCAGAGGAGGAAAACATTCTAGAATACATCTATGCACTCAACAGTAAATTAAATCCTGCAAACAGAGCTGGAAAAAAAATAGATTTTCATGTAAAATTCCTCCTCAAGTTCTCCCAGAGGTGAAAGAAAGTTCAGGTTGGACTCTCTAGTTATATTTTACATATTTCTTCATTGTTCCTTAGGAGAAATATTTTTCTCTCAAGAGTTTTAGATTAAAAAAAGGTTGGCTTCCAACAAGACCACAACTATCCTTGGAAATGGTATTGAAAACCATTTTCATTACCACTTCAGGGGGAATCATTGCTGAAAACCATTGTGAGCAAAGGCTTGGTGTGCTTGGCTGAAATCCCACTCCATCTTCAGTAGGGCAGGATTTCCCCCGTAGTGTAGACAAGACTTTAAACAGCAGCCAGGCTGTAACAGCAGTTTTTTATGTTGGGAAGTTTGGAATATCTATGCCCACCAACTGAAAATAATATTTATTTTAAACAAGAGCACAGCAGGAGTTTGCCAGGTTCAGGCCCTTAATAAGGTAAAGTCCACTTGAGGAGCTTCACATAAACATTGATATTGTGCTGATTTTCAAATTAAATGTGTGTGTGGGAAGAGAAGGAAAAACAAGTGGGGGAGATCTAGCTGCCCTTCCCTGAAATATTATTGAAAAAGATGCAGCCTCAATGCCAAAAATCCTCTCCCCAGTGGATTTTATCCTTATCTTAAGTGGAACAATGTAGATTTTCCATGTTGTTTGCGTAAATGCATGGATTGGGTATAGATGAGGCAGTGCCCGTTGTCTCTATGGATAAAAGCTGCTGTTTGCAGCACCTCTCCTTTTTTTTTATTTTCTGCCATTTTCTGTCCTGTTTGCCTACTCTGCTCTCTTTTTCCTCTTCTTGTCTCTCCTTTTTCTGATTCTCTCCTCCCGCCTACCTAGTTTCTGACTTCTCAATCTTCTTCCTGCACTGCCCCTTCCAATCTGCTAATGACACCAGCCATAGATACCCTGACTGTCCATTTCTCCCACAAGTCACCATGTGCCTTTATCTACACAGCTCTCTACATGTGGAATACCCTACCAACTGGAATATACCAAACCACTGCATTCTCTTCATTCAGAACCCTCCTTAAGATTAATATCTTTCACAATGGCCACAAGAAGTGAGTAAGGAATAATAATTACAATAAAAAAGATGTAATTGGCCATTTGAGATGTGTCCCTGCCTAACTTAAAGTAACTTCAAGATCTTATTGTTGTAACCCTTGGCTTTCCTCTCCTTACTCCTTTACTACCTTTTACCTCCACCCTTCACACAGAGAGGAGAAAGGAAGGGAGGCAAGCCCCATTAATGGGATTTGGGAATGAGAGCATATCATCACTTTTATTGCAGGTTGAACAATGCATTGGTATCTTAGTGCTCTATCCTCACAAAAGGGAACTTCCTGCTCAGGGAAAAAAAAAAAGGACTGTAGTTCTGCTGTGCCTGAGTATACCTCTGATAACTTAACATCTGTGTGGGCTGTGCACTTTTTTTTTTTTAATTGATTTACTTCTGCAGGGTTGGCCAAAGCATTGTCCATATAACACAATCTGACCAGTGTCTTTCCTCATTTATAATATAGAGTTTGTGGCATATAGAGACTGTACACTAAAGCTGGTTTGGAAATGAGGGGGGAAATACATGAAAATGATCTAAAATTTGTTTCTGGTTTTTTGTTGAAATGTCCCTACCAGTTCTACTACAGCCTTATCATTTCTCTGGGTTGCACTTCTCTATTAAAGAAGAGAGGAGCTGTAGTTCTCCGTTATATGTATGTTAGATGCTGCTCTTGGATTTCTGGCAAGTTGTCAATGTATTCCTCACTTGAGCAAAATCTAGATTTATTTGGAACATATATTGAGCCCTAAAATGAGATTAATATATAAATATTATGTGAAAATTATACAGAGTGACAATTTCATAACAAAATGAAACTTTCAGAGTCCAGCTGGTACATATGAAATCTCTGTGCTGTTCCAAAGTAGATAAGACACAATGAACTACTTATGCTGGGATGCTAAATACAGCTTTCGTAGTAAGTGACCCTGTTAAATTGAAACATAAACCATCGTATAGCGATAAGAGTGTTTGTGGTTTGTACTGCAATAGGTGTAGAAAGTTAACATGAGACTGTTTGGCTCTGTGATAGCATCTTTAGTTACACTTTTTAAACTTTTTTACATTATGTTAAAAGTAATGCAAAAATAGACATATCACTGTTTAATTTTAATGCAGTTTGATGTAATAAGAATGTTCTGGTTGAGTAATTAATCAGATACCAGATCAGATAATGTCAGATAAATTAGCATGCTCATGGGCTCTACATATGCTTTTCTTTCCCATGGTCAGTGTCATGTAAAGACTTACACATGTACGTAGACCCATTGACTTCAAATACGTAAAGTTAGTAAAACAAGAGTACAGTGGAGAATCAGACCCTATTATTTTAGATATTACAAGGTTATAAATTAATATGAAATGGGGTCATTTTTCATATTAGCACACACAGCTTTAGGATCTAGCTCTCCAAGGAAAAAGAGTAGTGCCTGGTACTCCTTTACATTACTATTGACCCAAAGCATCTCTAGCAAAATATCTACAACTTCCAGTGAAGGAGGAGAGAGAAGGGTAAGGGAGCTGCTTGGTAGACCTGCTGAGATTTGGACATCAAACTCTGAGGGGGAAGGGGGTGGAGGTTACTTATTTTTTGCTCTTTAGCATGTTATCCCTCTCATAATTGCTCTTCAGCCTTTACCAACGACATTATAAAAATAGTTCCTCTGGCCACCTGAACTTTGGTGTAGTTGGATTCTTGTGCGGCACTGTTCGTGGAGTGCCAGAGCAAGGGCTTGACTGAACAGATTTTAATGATTGAATTGCTAATATCAAATTGCATGAAAACCCATGCATGTGGTTTCTTTAAGTGAGGCAAACTTGTCTGGTGTTGACTCTTAATCAGATATAATTAATTCATATATTGGGTTGATCAGAGAGGATTCTAAAGCAAAAATGCATTGACAGCAAAGAGGTTCTTGGGTGAAGAAGAGGTAGAATGATTGTCTAGTCTTGCAGATTATTATTTTAAACTTGTTTTGCATCAATTAATTTTCTTTTTAAAAATAAAGGGCCACATTTTTTCTTGAAATACATACATGCAGCTCAGTGGGAATTAGTTATAAATTTGAAACAAAAGTTAGCCCCAAATGCTCCATAAAGAAATTACTTTAAAGAACCATAGAACCGTAGGGTTAGAAGGGACCACAAGGGTCATCTAGTCTAATCCCCTGCCAAGATGCAGGATTTGTTGTGTCTAAACCATCTGGCCTCCTTTTGAAAACCTCCAGCAAAAAAGCTTCCACAACCTCCCAAGGCAATCTGTTCCATCGTCCTACTGTTCTTGCAGTTAGGACGTTTTTCCTGAGATTTAATCTAAAGCTGCTTTACTGTAGTTTGAACCCATTGCCTCTTGTCTTGCCCTCTGTGGCAAAAGAGAACAACTTTTCTCCATCTTTTTTATGGCAACCTTTCAAGTATCTGAAGACTTCTATGATATTCCCTCTTAATATCCTCTTTTCCAAGCTAAAGCATACCCAGTTCCTTCAG